CCAGAGAGAATCTGTACTTTTGAATCCATTGACTTATACCGATCTATCACCCGAGTATTCTTTATGTGCATCGCTAAGTCATTACGACAAATGCGATAAATTTCTTCTTTTTCATATACGTAAGGACCAAACTCGCAGACTATTCCGCGTGCAATAACTTGTGCTGCAGCTTGTTCAAGAATATGCGGCCAAAATTGAAATTTCTTTTCAATTGGCCATATGTTTTTCGACTATTAATATCACACGAGCCACAATCAATCTCTTCCGACTCGAAAGTTGTTGGCTTGCAGGTCATATGTGATATGGCTGACCTGTTAAAATCTCATATTTTGCAAACTCCGCTGGAAAATAGGAGTCCTTCTGGAATTTTAAAGAAAGCGGAAGTGCTATCGTGAGTGCGTAACCCTAAGTAAGGGCTGCGGTTGACGAGGGTCCGAATCGTTCGAGGACAGGAGGACAAATCCGGTCCAGACCTTCGCTTCGATTAGCTTGCGTAACAAGTCGACCTCGATCGCCCTCGATCGCCCTCGAATGCATCCCCTCCCTCGGTATTCCCGTCCGCCCTAGCCTGCTACCCTACCCTACCCTACTTTACTCCATTTTCCATTGAAAAGATTTCCAGCCACGTGACCAATTTTACGATTGAATGCCGACTCGTGCCTCTTTCCATGTGTCCCCGGGGCGAGCCAAATAGAAAGGTAAAAAGTGTTTTGTTAGCCCAATGGGAGAGAGCATGCGTTGTTTAATTAATGGCTCGCACGTACCAGGATGTACGTTTGAGACTCCTCGTAAAGATTACGAGAATTATGGTGCAAGTATTATATATGCACGCGTTTACTACAAGTGCAAAGAAGTGAATTACGAAATTATTACGGGGAAAAAGATGGACGACGGTGATATCGAATAGGAAAGCGCCGTAGTAACCGCTATAATTGTCCCGTTGCCAAGTTACTTGAGATCCAAGAGGCATAGTAGCTGTGCTCCTCGGATGACGCCAAGAACACTGGAGAAAGTCTCGGTGCTCGACGGAAGAGCCAGGAGTCCGCGCGACGCGGATCACCTATGGTCAGGATGGAGTTCCGAGGCCATCGCCGCGCGGCCACGATTATTCGCTTCTTCTTGTTCAAGGAGGAACAAAAATACCTTAAAAGAGAAACTATGAAAGAAGAAGAGGAAGCGAGAATTTACACAAGCTGCACAAATGCAAGAGAGATTGTTGGAGAGGCGGCGGCTTGATTTTCAAGGGACATCAGGTCCGGAAACTTAAGGCCAGAGTACAATGCGTCATGGGCAAATCCGCGCTCGTACCTTTTTATTTTGGGCGTTAGCTATTGCGGCACCTTCACCCTTCACGTAAAAGTTGGTCCAGCGGTGCAGCGAGGCGACCGCATCTCTGAGGTCATAGATCAAGTGGATATACGTATATGGATATAATATACATATGGATATAATATCAGGGAGATTGGAAAGGAATTTCTTTTAAGAGATAGAGTGAGAGCGACAGTGTGTGTGTGAGAGAGAGAGAGAGAGAGAGATAGGGGGGGGATACATTTTTCAACATTTCTGTAAATGTACATAAGGCAACTGTAGATACATGTGGAAGAGTTACAGATTATGTTATAGCTGCACTAAATTGAAGCGCCGTAGCGGCCACTGTCGAAGAGAGACAAAAAATGACGTAGTGCGCGATACACGTGCAACTAGCGGATTGAGCTTCGTCAAAATATGGGACGTCGACGCGTATCGCCGCCACATCATGTAAAGACCTACATAACACGCTCTTCAGAGCAACGCACCGCCTTATTCACAATTATTATGAAAGCTTATATAATATTATGATATGTCACAGAAGACCATGAGCTCTCGCACCTCTTCGTTTCGGTGGTTATAATTATGAAACGTTAATTACGTAATAAATATCACTACTATGTGCCCGCCACTCTACAGGGGTTACACTCCAGTAGAAGGCTCCAGAAAGAACCGCGCACTCATCAGCTGGCAGATGGCACGATTCGTACTCCAGCCCGACAGGATAGGCAATGCAGGTCTATTACATGCCGTATCATACACATGTACATCATTTCAATATATCCTATAAAAAAATTGAGATCCGACTACGGAAAATGGATCTCCACAATAATGTTGTTTTTATTAATTGAGCGGTCAACTCTGCTTCTATGGGAAGTGGCCCCGCGAGTTGCCGTGTTGCCGTGCGCCAGGGAATCGAGCAGTACGCGCTATTGCCGAGTTGCCGAGACGCTAAACAACTAATCATGATCTGGCCAGCAAATGACCGCCATTCAAATGAAATATTGGTAAATTCTGGAATTCTGAAGTTGCAGATTGCTGCCCTCCGATCGAGCGAGCGACACGACAATCGTGTCAACGAGAATCAGGAACTTGCCAGTTGTGAGCAATAGGCCGGGAACGTCAAGATACTCGGCTGACGTTCGACTGGAGCCAACGTGACTCACGTGCCTCATTCGCGATATCCGACGACGACGTCGTTCATCATGAATCGATGACGACGACGGCGATATACTGTATAACGATTATGAGAGTGACGCCGGTGTCGGTTGGATGGCAGCTGGTCTGCTCCTTAATTAGCGGCCCACTCGAGATTAACTGCGAATCAATGACACGCAAAGTAGTGCGACTGTGCGAGTTCGACGACCCTCGGCTCGCGAACTCCGCCACTGCGAATCGCGAATTTACAAATCCGAATGCGAATCGCGTGGGGCTAAATCGATGGGTGATCGGAAGAAGAGAGGACGAGGTTTTGAAAAAAAGAAAGAAAGAAGTGAGAGAGAGAGAGAGAGAGAGAGAGAGAGAGAGAGAGAGAGAGAGAGAGAGAGAGAGAGAGAGAAGGTCTTGAAGGAGGAGAAGGTTTAACGAAGGGAAGAAAGGTTGAAGAGCGAGATTCGATATGGATTCAAGGCCCTCGAGGCAATTATCCTAGCTATAATCGCGAGAGCGCTTCGATGTTCGTGACAGATTCACCAGATTCCAGGACTACGAGTGCCATTCGTTGGTACAGTGTGCATATTCGTTGGTACGCGATACACAAATCCAGCGTCCACTTGCTTGGCCGCTCTTTAATCCGAAACGTGACTTTTCATTCTTGGTTAAATTATGCCGGCACCATGCTTCACATTGGATAACCAAAGAGCCGGCCATTAAAGAGCAGTTCATATTCAGCCATACTGCGTAATTCCGAAAAGGCTGGATTTATACCACGAGGGACACATAAATTCAATGATTTGGCTTTCCGCTTGGCAATGTCAACGGAATTGCTTTTCAGGAGCGACTACCACTCCTGCCAATTAAATTAAATAATGCAAATAATGCTTCGCTAACAGAAATAATTAACCAGCTCGTAAACGAGGCCCAGCCGATACGCATGTAACTGAATAACCAGCGTTATATCGTATGTTATGATGCAACCTTCTATTCCCAGCGTGCGGCAAGGCTGTCTAGGAAACGGTTTCTTCAGAAAATCAATCGAGAAGACTCAACTAGCAAATCACATGTTTATTTAAAATTAGTTGTATTTTCGATAGTCGTTCGTGCAAGTCAACAATATGGCAAGCGTTAAGGAGGATCGGAGTACAAGTATAAGTAAAAGGATACGAGAGATGGTCGGAGGAGGAAAATCGAAACGGGAGAACCGGAACTTTATTTCTCTCGGAAGTTCTGCGCTCGCTTTTTCTCTCTCGTAGTTCTTATGAGTGCAGGCGCCCGTGATCTCGGCTGCACTGGCCTTGCATAATTTAGCAGGCTACTAATTATTTATAAACGATGAGTCCCTCGGTGGAGTCTGGCTAATATTGTTTTACAGTTAATGAATGGGGTTTTACAGTTTACCGTGCGGCCTACCGAACGGAAGCGGTCACGAGCTGACGAGGTTGAGCCGATGAGGATCGATTAAACGCGCGAATCGCTGAACGCCCATATGGGCCTTATGGCACAAACCGTTTTAAAGCGATGCTTGTTTAACTGTTCGTTGGCAGTTGATGTTCCCTTATTCTTAGTATAAAATGCGAAAGACGCCCGGCCGACGTATGATTTTGCTTGCGCTCCATACTGCAATGTAAATTCCATTCTATGTCCATTCTATGGCAGTCACTTTTTATACACTTACAACTATGTTCTTTTTATTATACGTTGGAATATACGGGAATAACACAACAGACTCGTAAGTGTGTAAAAAGTGACTACCACAGAAAGGATAGGGAATAACACAGTTGGATTTGCACTGTGTACGTATCGATATACATATGTATACTCTGACGCACCGATTGCCTACTCCACGTGGAACAGGAAGACTGATCGTGACATAGCGAGAGCTCCTGAAAGATCAGACATATCAGATACATGTGCTGAGCGCTAATTGACGTAGGATACGATGTGACAACGCGTTACGTATATGTATAGTAACGTTGATATGTAGGTCGTGACGGTATTCACTCCGTTGGGACAATACAGAGACGTGTAAGAGTCAGGACGAAAATCGACATGAGAACGTCCTGGCCCGGGAACCGATACCGGCATACCGATTCTGTCTCGGTGTTTCCTGCTCGTCCTTCAGTTTCTCTTGGGCAAATCGATTAATCTAATATTAATCTAATATTGTACAAACGAGCCTCGAATCAGCTGGCGGCCGGATCCTCTGGAAAAAATGTGTAGTTGCGATTACTAGAGCAGTGATACTCGCTAGAATTTCTAGTTTTCCAAATACTAACCATTGCTCCAGTAATCCCAACTGTACATTTTTCTCCGTGCAACGCATCGTACTTGAAACAAGTAGATTATGATAAGCCCGTCATGTAGACGCGCATCCTATTTGTTACATGTTACGACGACGCTAAACGCAATAGTTATCAAAAGGACTGGATCATTTTGAAGATGCGCTGTGCTCATATCACGTGCAATGGAGACTAAGGTAAGACCCATAGAGGAATATAAGGGGGGGTAGTCTACCATCTGAACAGAAAACTTACCGATTCTCGAAGCTCGAATCCCACCTTCCCTAAGAGGTAGGTGGAAGAAAATCAGTCAGTGTAGCACCGGGATTTTATTGAGTGACGCATCCTCGGCACAGGAGTGCTTTCACGACTCGCTGTGACGCGTAAGACACGACGATCCGATTGCTGATGCCAGTTAACGGTAATCGTTAACGACAATACTGACGACGCAGTTGCGTCTCTCGATTTTATAAATCGGCTGACGATCGCGAACGCGATCTCACCGAGAACTCTGAGCAGCGATCACGAAAGCGCACTGTATCACACGAGCTGCATCCGCCGCACAGATGGAACAAAGGAGAAGCTGCGGTGGCGCAGGACCGGCAACCGATTGATCTCGGATCGTGGCATCGCGTGTGCGCGTCTTCGCGATCTCGTTGCGTCGCCTTCGACTTTCGTTCCCAAGAACGAAGGAGGAAAAGAAACGAGGGGACGATCTGTGCTGAGAAATGGACAGCAGTGTTGTCTCACGCGGTTCCATCTTCTAACGTGCGGACGGACTTGCGGTGAGTCCTGCGTGCCGAAAGGATACTTCCCAAGATAACGCAGAATCCTTGCGGGGAATTTGCATTATTAACGAGATCGATCGGCCCGATGTCTTAACGCTGAATTCGGAGAAGAGAGTATTCCTATGATAATGTGTCTAATATGTTTTTGCTCTTTTTTCCTTTCGCTAAAACGTCATCACACCTGGAGTATAGAGATTATGGAGTCGCGTGCAGGCTCGATACACTCGCGGACACAAATGAAGCGTCGAGGAAGTCTAATAGGATTAGACACGGAACGAAGATCGGCAAAGATTACCAAGATTGTCTGGATGAAGAACGTGGTTTCGCGGGGCTCGGTGGAAACGCGAATGCTGGGATGCGCGCGTTCCGGCGGCTGCGCGTGTACTGCCCGCAGACGCTATGCGCCTGGGACTCCCTTTTCCCATCCGCCCCTGACCGTTCTCTCTCTCCTTCTCGCTCACTTCCCAAACGTCTTCTTATTTTAGGATCCGCGTGCGTGCTTGCTTGCCTGTCCGCCAGCCAACCAGCCAACCAGCCAACCCGCTCGCCCGCTCGCCCGCCACAGTGTTCGGATATCTTTTACTCCTACACTGTTCTCCAGCTTCATTTCTCCGGGTTCTCTTTTCACATAAAATAGCAAATATACCCCCCCTCTCTCTCTCTCTCTCTCTCTCTCTCTCTCTCTCTCTCTCTGTCAGACTTTGTACAATTTTGCCTTTGGCAGCCGTGCATACTAGCCATAGTAACGGTGCAGAAGCTGCACGACGCACACGCTGAAAAACCAAAGTCTTCCCTATCAACGGGCTAAAGAATACCGCGTTAATATGTCCACAGATTTAGGATACTGGGTTCACTATTTCAATACAAACGGAACAGAAGAACATGTGCAAAGAGAGAGAGAGAGAGAGAAAGAGAGAGAGAGAGAGAGAGAGAGAGAGAGAGAGAGAGAGAGAGAGAGAGAGAGAGAAATGGTGGAACGACAGAGGACCATGTTTATATGGTATACTGGGATTTAGAATACATAATTTAGCATCTTTTCAAGTTAATTACAGTATGCCGGGATGCTCCAATACGATTTTATTATAGTACGAAATAAAGGTATCGATCTATTATATATCGATTTATCTGTCCCTCTACTTTAGGACGACTCTTCGTTCCTTTTACGAGTACTTTACTCTCTGTGGAACTTTTCGCGCCTAATAATTGGAGCTTTAAAAGTCCCAAGAGCCCAGCTGTGCTAGCCGCAGTATGCCGATTGGACAAGTCGTACTAGTATGTTCTACATGTCAGTATCAGTGAGAACAGAAGAGTAGCACAGGAATGACATCCCGCGTGCCAGACGATTCCCTACAATGACGCGGCAGCTACATAAATTCTCTATTTCTTTGTGGGATATATGTGTCTCAGCAATATTTCCTTATCCTCCAAGATTCTCCATCGCGTCCAGCATCTTACCACTATAATGGGCTATAATAAGTGTTGCGGCTGTCCTTTCAAGAGGTATGCATCCAGGGCTCCAGATGATTCGTCGTCTATCGCATTCACGTTTTCTTTCCCGGAATTCGGAAGTTATGCCGTTATCTGCTGATACAAACGCGGCATTCGGCAGCCCAGGGTTCTGAGTCAGCGATGGAATTTCCAACGGAGTCCAACGACAGTCTAGATATATGGTATGTAGGTATGTAATGTATACATGTAATAACTAATAACCTAATAACACTGATAGAAATAACTAAGAACATTGCGCAATAGATATATACAACACTATGTATTTCACCTCCCAATTCGATTGCATTGCATATTGCATACTATGTACAGAAGGTGGAATGTATTCCTCGAGAAGAAGACGATTACACTTAGAAAGTATCATGGTGCGAAAGAAAGGAATGAAAGGGGCAGGACTTGTAGATACGAGATAACCCGAGTATCCCTTTCAGTGGTTCCTTGAACGAGAGAAGGAAAATATGACGGATGCTCATATACGAAAAAACTGAGTGCTGATAAGCAAAAAAAACCATCAGTGCTGATAAATAAAACGTGAGCACCCTCTAACGACTGTGTATACGTATATGTATATACTTCCCTGTACCTCGTACAGGGAACCTACCTCGTACCCATCCGTAGGGATGTCTTCCCATGTCAACCGGTCTACGGGTACGATCTGCACTCGGCGTGTCGCACGTATCACACCAACACACCTCCGAGCCCCTCGCTCCCTCCCGCATTCGTTCATTCACGCATATTCGCGCTCAGTGTGACTTACACCAACGCAAAGCGCACTTCAGGCAAACAAAAGCAGCGTGCAACCCCTTATGGCCTCCTCGCTCTTGCGCCAGTATCGTGCCAGTGCACAACCGCTCTTTCTACGTAACGCATCGAATTGTTCACGTACGAGCTGGTTGGCTGCCATCTGATTTCGGATCGTCCTACGTACTCGAGAGGTCAGTAGATACGAGCTTCGGCTCAGTTAGGCTACAGTCTACGGAATTCAATTTATTCTTGTGCTTCCGTGATCAACCTCTGCGGGAGCCCCATATAATATTATACCTTTACGGGGCCATAAGTAGAAGGAAGCAGAGCTCGAGATAAAATCTGTAGAATTTAGGAGAATGGGGAGGGGGCAGGACCTGACGCTGCTCGCTCGTCATTAGATTTCTCGCATCCCTTTTTTATTTCTCTCTGTTCCCTTCCGGATGTCGTTGCGATGTGACGTCGCAATGTCAACCAGCTCGACTCTTGCCGGGACGATGCTGTTCAACTAAGAACGAGTTGCTACGCGAAAGAACGAAAGAACGAAAGAACGAAAGAACGAAAGAGCGAGGGCGTAGGACGGTAACGGCTATTCGCTCTGCAGCTATCTTAAAGACCTTAAAAACGACATCTTACCAGAGTCACGGGAAATGGCTCTCGCAATCTTTTCCTTGAATGCGGATGTCGAATTGACCGGGTATTCACCGGATATTAAATGAAAACATTGCGCGGAATTGTATGGCGAATCGGGGACGGAGGACGGAGGACGCAGGACACGAATGTAACCCTAATATTTGTCAAGACACATACCTATAGCAAAGCAGCCATCCGCTAAGCTGACTTCTTACTTTTGCATCCTATTTTATGACTTTCTTTCCCCTTTCACTTGACTCTCATACATTTACAGGACAATCCGACAACTACTTGCCGAGACCACTTTACATCTTCATACAACTAAACGGTAGTGTCTATACACTTTTGTCTCTTAAAAAAATCCACCGAAAAATCCTTAATAAATTCCGCATAGCACGATGATCGGCACAGTGTAGACGCGCAAACGAACAGGTAGCAAAAAAGTACATTATATGTATAGATGTTTCCTTGCACGGAAATTAAAATGTTATGTCATTGATATTATGAAATTCTAGAAGTTTGATTAATAATTATTCGCTGGTGGAAATTTCGCGATACTTTGATCGAGTATCATGCAGCAAGAGGGTGCACGCGGATGGCGGATGGCGGATGGCGGATCAAGGGTGCAGTAAAAGGGACCAATACCGCAGGGTTTTACTAGACGCTTCACTTGGCTTGCATAGAAACTATGAGAAAGCCAGACTATATGTACATAACGACATAACGACGACGACGACGACGACGACGACGCCGACGATCAGCGCAGTGCAGCGTACAGGAAAAGTACGCAGTACGTCGATGGCAGGTACATACCATGTACCATGTCATTGCCGAGCGGTTCCAGCATGAGAACCTGTAGGAGAACCTATAGGCGGATAGGTGTGCGTAGATATAGCACTCGCGCACACTGAACGTGCACGCACGCACGCACGCACGCACGCACGCACGCTGATAAAGGTGCAAATGTCGCACAGTACGTTACGCGCGCGTACGCACCGCAGCCGCACGGGGCAGGCGGTCGCGGTGCATGCAATTAAATTGCCGTTTGCACTCAGTCCACTTCTTTCTGGCTCTCTACTTACCGTTTATTAATTAACGCCGTATCGAAAATAATTACATATGTAACGAGCGACTTGCTGCCACGACGATTCGACACAGTCGGATCGTTACTATAGTTATAAAGCAGTCTGGAATCCTGAGTAGTGGCGTCGCGCCATTGGATTTTCACGACGGTCATGGGTATTAATTCATGCGTTCTTGCCTTAATAATTATTCACGAGTTTTAGCCAGTGAAAGAAGGCGGTTTAATTGGCGGAGGTCTCTGTGCCTGACGCATCGAGCACGCGAATCGCAGCATCGTTTTTATTCTTTAAAGTTTTTGGATTAACTACCGATTGTCAGATCCAGTGCCACGTCGAATTTCAACATCACCCTTCAGCCAGCTGATGTTGCGTCACGATACAGAATAATTTTTGCTTCTGCTCAGAAGGCATGCCCTGCTGTGCTCCTGTAGCAGAGAATGGCGATGATCGTTCAATGGAAATGTTGCAGTCCAAACTTGACAAGTTCGTGCCGAAGGTACATGCAAGTCTAAAAGTTTGGCAGTAGCAAGTCAATTCGGAACTTGCCAAAGCCATACTCTGTTCTAGTTGCTCGAATTTGGTTCTCGCAAGAAGGAGCGAGAGAAGAGAATAGGGGGAAGGAACTTCCGATTCTCTGACTGTCACTTCATTTCACTTTCAAAGTAGCAACTCTATTTATCTCGAGTTTTGATGAAACTTGACTGCGATTGCAATTATTTTCTACTACTTTCACCTTTCTTCCGCTCGATGTCAGCCTTTTACTGAAAGTGCAATCAAAATAAGAGGTCGGAAGTATCGATTGCTGACGAGTGTTCATCCCAATCGATAAGCGTAGCGCAATGGATTCGTTACTTTAACTGCTGTAAGAGATAACGCGGATGCGAATAACAATTTTGACATTTCCGTGAAATGTCTTTGGGATTTTGGCAAGTACTTCCTTCTAGCTCTTCTGCCCCGAGTGTTGAAAATCGAAAGGTGCGCAGAAAAGGTCAGATTTTAAAATAGTATATCAGCGAAAGCCGGAAGAAGAAAAAACGAACACGAGGAAAATGGAGGAAAATATTGTGAAGATTGTTTGTTTATCCGCGACAGGTCTCACGGTGCGTCAAGCTAAAGGAAGCTGAATGACGTCCCGCGAAGCAGTTCGCGTTCCCTTCGCGGAAGGATTCGCATTATTCGAGCGTGTGCTCGTGATGCCGCTTACAGAAGCAGGCGACAAACGAGATCCCGCGAGAGGAGATAGTGATAAATCGGGAGAAAACGAAGCCCTGCCGGGTCTTTATTCCATTAAACCAGGGAGTCGAGTCGTTCGTTCAGACGCTCCCGCAGCCAGCCAGCCAGCCAGCCAGCCAGACAGATCGTCACTTGTTTCAAGTTCTTCGCTCTCTCCTCCTCTCACTCCTTCGTCTGCCTTCCGTCACTGCCTCTGTACTCCTCTCGCTCTGACGCACCGTATGCACAACCAGCACAGCTTCTACCACCTCTACCACACCTTTACCCCACATGCAATGCATACCTTCTGTCCCTATCCCGCGTACCTAGTCCCTTTCACATTACACAGCCAACAGCCAACAGCCAACAGCCAGCATCGAGTCACAACTCTTTTCGATATTCAAAAGCATTCGTCCGATAACGCGAGAATGTAAATGTGGCGGGTGTTTGGAGCAGAGCAAATAACGGAGAATCTCCGAATACAAGGGGCTTTGACAAAGCTGCGCCGAATTCGCAATTACAACTAGGCGGATATATGCGACGCTGGGGTTTCGCTACTTTTCAGGAGGATAGCACTCGAGAGAGACCAGGAGCAGTCCGTCCTTTCAAAGTAATGAGAATTATCCTAAATCAGAAATCCCGACAAAATATTTCGACTGATTTATTATATTACTACTTATTGTTGTTATTGTATATTCCAGACAACCTAACGCGAATCCTCTGCAACTTATGACGCCGTAATGTAGTTAATTTGAGAAAAACATGTGTCCTCAAAGAATGAGCGAGAAGCAGCAGTTTAATTATAAACGTAGGTACAACTTGGCTAAAATAATGACACATAGAGAAACGAACCGAATTCGAGCTCAAGTTGACGGTCGATATTGTCGATGCGCAAATTGATCTTAATTTAAAATCAACATAATTTGGCACCAATAAAGTTGCAGAGGACTGATGCCTGGCCATCTGGATGTCTGGGTGTCTGGGTGTCTGGGTGTCTGGGTGTCTGGCTATCTTGGCTCGTTATAGGGATTTCATACTTGTGCCATATACTATACACGCGATTGTCACAATGTATATTGTAAATAAATAGTCTGTGGTCAATCTAACGTAAGTTTATGTGCAATTTCCTTTTAATTGATTCAACCCAATTTATTATGGATCCCCAAGGCGAAATCTTATTTCAGGAACTGCTCAGCCAATTGGAAGTTACACGTGTTTTTGTCAGCCCTCATTTAACTGGAATCCTCGAAGGATCGAAGGACATGGCGTGAAACTGGATATCTACATTGTACATGAGAAATAGGCAGGCTAAACGAGAGCGAAAGGGATGGTCATACGGAGAAGTAGAGCATCTAACAGCAGGATAGTATATGACTACGTGTGGTAATGGAGACTCATTGTCAGTGCAACCCCTGTCAATTCAGAATTTTAGATCGTATACCCTATAGATAATTACTAAATACGTTAGAGATTAGAGGGAGGACTCAAGGAAATTGATAGTATGCCTCGTGCCTATAAAGAATTTATGCACAAAGGACTCACAATATCGCGATTAAGTATCGTATCGTGCTTTGCATAAGCGTCGAACCAAGAGACGAGATAAGGTCGCCGACAAGACATGTCGAATCAATCGACATTCCAAATCTCCGTGAATTTGCATCGACACGAACCACGATAGGCCCCTATAGGCGTCTGGCTTATAAGGCGACAGCAGATTGTCAGATTGACGGTTCGGAATTTGGAGATTAAAGAGATAATAAGAGATCTTTAAAATTTAAAGATACTAGCACTGCGAGTGATAGCCAAGGAGGAAGAGCACTTCAAGCTCTAGAACTAAAAACTCGCTCGCGTCCCTTGAGACTCCGTTCATGCAAAATATCCGCGTGGCCTCGTGATTACCATATATCTTCTGGCATTCCGGAAGTCCAGAGGGATTTGTGTTGCTGCCGGCACGTCGTGCCCTCTTCCACTCTTTTTTCGTTCTCTTCCGTTCTCTTCCGTTCCCTTACGAATATGACCAGTTTCAGGAGGAAGTACGCACCTGGCAAAATTCACGATTGTTACAGTTTGAACACAATAGAGCATACGAAGCTGAATAACACGAGTTTAGCATAAAAAGCGACAAAACTCGACGCGTGATACATTACAAACTTACTTTACCCTGTAGTTTGTGCTTAAAATAAAGAAATATAAGGAAAAGAAAAGGTATGAGCCTACCAGATGACGCTCGTGTGAAAATATGCTCCTAGTGAGCGCAGAGAGGATTCGCTTGCGAGTCACGCGCGAGCCATCCGCATTGCAACTGAAAAGTATTGAAGGCGAAAGGCGAAGGAGATGCAACTTGCCAGCAAAGTCGAAAAGGGAGCAATCGGAAACCATGGACCTACATACGAGTAGGTACCGTATATCTATCTACATACGGATATACTGTACACGAGTACTGCATCTACGTGTAAATGCAAGTAGGTGCTCCACCTCCGCGGGAGCTATGTTCCCTTCGCTTACTAATCACGGTAAAAGCCACCGCCCCGACATACATATATCCAACGTAGCTCCTTCTTACCTTACTTAATGGAAATATGAGACGTGTTACTTTTTTTTTTTTTTTTTTTTTTTTTTTTT